CCTAGAATTTGGGTGTTCTTTCTATTTTGCCTCAACCCTCTCTACTAAGGTTGAAAAACTGGTGGCCTTCAGGCCGAATTTAGCCTGCACTATGTCTTGTTTGATCGATACAGAGTTAACTGTTTTTAACTTGGTTGTTGTCATTTATGAATTAGGAAACTTCATGTGAAAATTCAGATTTGGAGCTGCTCTTTAAAATCAGAAGTTCTGGTGCAGTGGGAATGCTGGGCTGGCATTCCCATGTGGCGGCAGTTGCCTAGGGCTGGCTGGGGCTGATGACAGAGCTGGCCTCTCCATTTTGTCACTTCTTACTTTTAATACACCTGATCATATTTACTCACATTTGCTCTGCCTGGCTCCTATTGCCTTTTGAGTTTAAAACTCCTGCTCTTTTAGGGTGGGTTGATTTTCAGGTATCCTTGTGTGTCTATTATTGTGAATTTGGCTACCTCCATGAGAAACTCAACCCCAGTACTTCAAACAAGCATGATTTTTCTCACAGCAAGAAGTGCAGAGGAGGGCAGGGCAGGGCAGGGCAGGTGCAGCCACTGGGAAATGTCCTGCATTACCCTCGCCCCTTTCAGCTTCCTGCTCTGCCATCTGGAGCTAGTGACTTATTCTCATGGTTGCTAGATGGCTGGTTGTTCCCTAGGGATCAGAGATACTTTCTAGGTAGGAGAGGGGGATAATTAAAGAATTCAAGGTGCATGCCAACTAAGTATGTCCCTTCTTACTAGGAAAACAGTAGCCAGAGATCTCACCAAGCAGGCTTCTAGTTACATTTCATTGATCAGAACTCAGTCTCCAACTTCCAACCACTTTAAGTTGCAAGGGAGTTTTCAGCTGGGCATGTGGCCACACCATAGCACTGGTTTTTTTTTGTTGTTGTTGTTAGGGAGAGGAGGAGAATAGCTATCGAGTAAACAGTTTGCATTGACATGTCAAATATTTTTTTTAAATAAAATTTATACAAAGGTTTTTTTTTTTTTTTTTGTAGCCTTGGGTATGAAAGGGAAGAATTATTTTTAGTAGCAAAAATACAAACAAACCAAAAAACCCCCATTCTTCTCCAGTTTTCTAATTTAAAGTTGTATCGAGTTCAGTGAAAAAATCGCATGCTCTGAAGTTGCAGGAGACCTGATTGAGTTGCCTGTGTCACTCTCTTCTTGATCTTTTTCTTCTTCCAGCTATCTCCAGCCACTTGGGACTTTCTGCCTCTAGGATACCTGTGACTCAGCCTTCCCTCCCTCAAAGAGGAAAGGTCTCTTTATTTGCTTAGTCATTCTATAAGTTTCAAAGAGCTAAACTTTTTCATTTTCCTGATTAATCAGAATGATGAACTCTTCATGTAGTTTTATGAGCTCAGAGTTGGTTAGAATCGTGCCTACTGTAGGGTTGTCATGAAGATGAAATTAGATAATGCACATAAAGTGCTTAGCGTAGTATCCACCATACAGGAATCTCTCAAAAAAAAGTGGTAAGAAAGTTTATAATTATACTCTTCTGGTTTTTGGCTTTTTTTTTTGGTGCCACCTGTCACAAATCAGGTTTGGATCACCAGACCATAGTTCTGTTAACAGTTCAGGTTGGCATTACAATTACTGAGAAATTTACTCAAAGATGGTTCCATGAGTGTCTTCTTGTCTGCAGCATATAACTTTCTCTGGGAAGACCAGCTCTGAGAATTAAACTGGATTTCTCTTCTTGAGCTTCCACCTTCTGTGTTCAAATGATGTTCCTCTATGTAACTTCTTCAAGAAAAGACCCAGACACTTTCTACCATAAAGTTACATTATCATACACTGAGGTCGGAGAATAGTCGTCTCAGGCAGAAGCTCTCCAGGCCGACCCGCCTTTTGGATGACTGTTTCTCACTTGGGTCTAGACCTCTTTGTGGCTTAGCTTTTATTTTGCAGATTGTCCTTTTAATAATAACAATTTTAGCTTATGTTGGAACAGTTGCTACCTTTCTGTTAATTACCTGCTCTATCTTATTTAAGCTTCATGGTAGCTCATGAAGTGGGTACTATTATTATCTCATTTTAGCTATGATGACACTGAGCTTTCAAGAAGTTGAGTGACTTGTCCAGAGTCCTTCAGCTAGTCTCTGACTCTGTTTTCTCTGATTCCAGCCAGGTGCTTTACCACCACCTAACCTCTCCTACCGTCTAGCTAGGCAGACGCAGAGACCTCCCAGTAGAGAAAGGCCTTTTGGGAGAGTGGAGAGACTTTGGGATAATTCTTACTTTTGGAACTCTTTTGGAGAGGGAGTACACCCCCACTTGATCACTCTTACTCATCTACTTGTCTAGAGAAGTGTTTGAGTCACAGCTGTTCTCT